TACTTTTGTAGACAAGTGTACAGCACACTCAGTACTCAGTAGTACTGTTCCTGCTTCCTTGTTTCTTTGTTTTTCATGCAGCATTAGTAGAAAGGCTACACAATAATGACAGACTATTCAGAGCTCAGAAGTAGGTGTTTCCCCAACAATTGTAAGTGTTTTGTTAGAACACTGTGAACTACATTCTAATACAATAAAATTACAGTCAAAAGCTATTTTGTAATTTTATCCCAGCACAGTGTTAAAGCAAGATACTGCATTTCAGTTCTTGCAAATATGGTAGCAAATGTGTAGTTTTAAAACTATGTGCTTTATTATTTTATAAACAAAGCTGAGGCAGTTGTTAGTGCCTACTTTCTTTCAGTGTACAAGTTTCCCTCACTTTATGGTGTGCATGCATTCCTGGAAAATGGCGCATAACTTGAATTCACATGAAGTGAACCCACGTTAAATGTAACAAACAGGGATACATTCTAAGACCTCAACTGTATTGACCCCCAGACCCACTTCTACCACTTTTACAAGACAATTTTGGTACTCACCAACAGCAGACAGTACACACAAGCCCAGGGCACTGTCATAATGGGGATGGCAACTACAGAAACACGTGGCGCAGATCATGAGCAAGGAGCACAGATCCACACAGGAGATTATATTTTGGTGAGCGTCACTCCCCCAGTGCACCACACAAAGCACCTGACTGCGGGCTTCCACCACACCAATTGCTTAAGAGTGAATTTACCTCACATATTATACATTTTCGGTATAAAAAGGGTCATCACATATGAGTGAAAGTGCACATGAAGAAACCACATAAAGTGAAGGAAACCTGTAATTTAAAAAGAAATCAGAATTAAAATCTGAAACCATTTGCCAGATCTGATTCCTGTCATCCTTGCATCATGATGATAACTACACAAGATACAGCTGGTGTCATTGCTGTTGTTATTCTTGTTCCTGAAACCATCAAATTGTTTTAAAAAACATTAGGGCCAAGTCACCCTTGGCATAGAAAAAAACCTGCAGCAGGAAGAAGTTACTAGGTTGGTGGTGCAGAAAGCTTCTCAAATCGTGGCATATTCTAAGAGAGGCATTCTCATTGCTTCGCCTTCCCCTTCCTCCACCTACCATGGCCCCCATATCCTGCTATAGCAGTATACTGGTCAAGAAAAAGCCCCAGTGAGCCATAGCGAGAACTCCCTTGGAGCCAACTGTGTATGCGACTATTGTAGTCCTTCACCATTTCCTTCACAAGTACCAGTATGGTACAGTATGGCACAGCTGAAGATGAAATGAGAATCTCCATAGGTCATGCTATCAGGAAGACCAACCATTTCAGGTTTCAGAGCATCAGTGGCAGTGCAAGCATCAGCTCCAAATCCAGACTAGGACCATTTTTGCCCACCACTACCAGAGACATACATTTTGTGTGTAACACTTCAGCTCCATTTTTGAAAGCTAAATTATAAGTCCCCTGGTTTTTTCCCATTATTATTTGTTAGGCTGCATTTACTAGAAGTTAAAAAGGAATAATCTTTCCTGCCTCCTCAAAAATCCTAACATATTTTGAATAGGAAGAAGAGGGGTTGTGGGAACAGAATGCCACTACCATTTGCCTGTGTCACAGGGGATATAGTCAAGCTGCATAGCTGACAAATATTTGAAGAGTTATGATGAAATAGTTCCCCAATCCACTGACTGTTTACATCTGTGTTCTTTGGAGTGAATTTTATGTTTATTGTTAATTTTTCCTGTGTTTTAGCTAAAGGATCCAGTATATATACATAAGGACCCAAAATAACTATCCCGACTGTTACTTACATTTTTCGGGAAGCTATAATAAATCATACATACAGTGAATGTTAGAAGATGCAGCATCGCTAGCATGGTGCCAATCTACTGAAGGTTTTAAGTTCCTATTCATGCATATTTATCACTGGCATCCCTTTGAAGTTAAATAGGACCATTATCCCCATTTTACAGATAGGGATTGATGCCCTCTGGAGTTTGCTTATTCTGTTTGCATAACACAAGGATTGTGGCAGAGCAGGAAATAAACCTAAGTCTACAAGAGTACTGAGTACAATGGCTACGAGAGTACAAGTACAAGAGTACTGCGTAGCCTATGGTCTCTTCTCTCTCCTATGGATGGAACTTCTGTCATCTGCAGAATCCACCCCGTTCCCTTAGAAGGGTTAACAGATATACTGGTAGCTGTTTTGGTTTGCACAAACTAGGGGTGTGTACACACATTCAAATAACTGGGGATAATTCTCCTGGCTTTGTTCTCCTCATAGAAAAATATACCTGGAGACACATGAATAGACATTGTAAAGCTAAGTGTTTGAAGAGCTGAGAGCTTGCAGTGCTGATGCTGCACAGTCAGGGGCCCCCTATATCCCTGAAGTCTGCCTGGTGATAGATGGCAGCAGTGCACAGGGCAGCCCTGGCATGCTGAGTGAGCTAGTGTTTCCCTGCAGCACAATGTGGGATTGTGAAGAGGGCATGTTCTGCTTCCTGCTTGGCTGAAGGAGTAGAATCCAGCTCAAGCAATACACAATGTCCCTTCAGGGAGGCAGGGGGCAGGGGATGGGAGGAAAGCACTAGGGCCATTTGTTCATGACACAAAATTGGCTTTTAAAGTGGCTTAATTGCCTTTAGCACTGTTTTAATGGTGCAGCTGTTTGCATGTGTCAGTGATGTAATGTGTATTAAATGACTTTGGGACGCAGCAAAATAAAACATCTCCAAAGTGGTTTACTTTGCCATGGAGGGAAGCACTGGGCCCCATGCATCTTAGGAGCTATACAGGCAGCCTGTGCAGGCAGGCTCCACTGAAGGAAAAAAAACAAAAAGCAGCGAGCCTGATCTTTTTTTCCCCCTCTCCCTGGAGCCTGCTTGCCTTCCTGAGCTATACGGGGGCCTGGTGATTCTCTCCGCAGCTGCGGTGCCCTCTGGGACTGCTCAGGCCAGGTGCTTGTGGGCGGCTGCCTCCACTGCTACCGAGGGAGGCACCAGCTCCCCTCTGCAACTCAGGAACTGCTTGGCCCACCAGCAGCTCACCTCCCCTCCCCTCCCTGCTGCCAGAGAGGCAGGTAAGGGTCAGGCCCAACCTTTGTGTACATGCCACGGGAGTTACTTCACCCTAAATTGAAGCGGTGTTTTTAAAGACCCACTGCTTCAATTTAGGGAGAATTAAACTGAAATAAACCCCTGTGGCATGTACAAACACCCTAGGAGGCTAGGGAAGGGTAAATTGTGCAGACACTCACTTTCCCAGGAGAAAAACTTCCAGGAGAGATTTAAGCCTGGTTGATTCCAGGTGTTATTTTTCTCCTGGAGCAGCCATCTTTGCTCTGAGAGAAAAATCCTAAACATCTTTACACTCATGGTTTCTCCTAGGAGAACAGCAACTCTCCCAGCAGAAACTGAGGGCATTTTTATACATGCGTGTGTTGCAGCACCAGGTACTTTGAAAAGCACCCAGCGCCAAGATGCATGCAATTGTATAAGCGGTGAAATGCATGTCAGCACTGAGAAAATGGTGGTGGCGTGCTTTTGACCTAAAACACCTCAAAAGTGCTTTAGTCCACTGTGCCATTTTCTGCACAGTGGTGCGATTAATCGAGTCCGCTGCAAAGCTGCAGATCTCCAGCACATTGCTGGAAAAAAGTACATGTATAAATGCCCTGAATGTCTGTACCTGCCCTATGAGGAGATTGAGAACCTTCTTGCTCTACATCTGTAATCACATACTGGTGCTGTTCTCTCTCACAACTTGGCACACTCCACATGTGTTGTGTCAGTATGAGACAGATTTCACTGGGCACATCTACATGTTCATTAATGTGCCCTAGTTATTGCGCATTTAGTTTAGTACTTCCTTAATGAAGTACTAATTGCATGCACAGTAGCTAGAGTTACTGCGCAGCAGTGCCAGTGCAGTTATTTTGTGAAGCTTACTGCGCATTAGCCTAATAACACTACCTAGTAGGTTATCTGCACGGTTTTTAACCGCTACGCTACTGTGCAGTGTTATTAGGCTAATGCGCAGTAAGCATCTCATGTAGACACGCCCACTGTGTTTAAAGAAAGAATAATTTTAATGAAATGTCATGCTATGTTTAAAGGACAAAATAACATTTGTGTTACATTAAGTGTAACAGCCTGAAAAAGTTTTAGTACTGAAGGATATGTAATATATTGAGATTTCTCTAATAAAAAGAAGATTTGGCTCTTTTGGTTGTTGTTTCCTTGCTTGACAGGAGCAGCACCTTAAGGGATGCAGCCTGTTCTAGAGCATCCACCTTGCTGGGCCTTGACTCTTACAACCATTGTAAATAGTCTTTAGCAATAGAGCAAAGAGGAGCTAAAAAGGCTCAATTGCTTGTGTTTCTTTTGGCCAAAACTCAAAATCGCTGGGTTGTAAGTAAAGACTGAAGTTTGACTCAAGGGGTGAATTTGTTTCTACCAGAAGTCAATGGCAAACCCCCTCTACTGTCTTCAGACTGGCTACAAGTAATGCTTACCTACCTATAACCTCTTGAAGGAGCAGTCAGATAGAAACATGTATGAAGAGTGTTCAGGACACTTGCAGTCCTCAGCATGAAAGCTGCCAACAGAATTGTTACTCCCCCCTTTATAAGAAACAATTTATAAACCCTGTGTACCAGAAATCCTGCACAACAACCCAGATTAGTTTTTCACCATTCATGTCTGTCAGTTTCAGCCAAGTGAAAGTCCCCAGCAACCTACTGGAAAATGCTTGTGTGTGTTGGTTCCAAAATTACCTTCAGATATCTTTAATTAAAAAAAAATAGTGCTTTGAAGAAGGCAGCATCATTTCATTTCAGTTTGGGTACCTTGTATTTTCAAGAGGAGCATGGGTCTTAGTCTTATGCCATGTAAGCTCACATGCAAGACTCCCATTGCCTTTGAAGGGTGCATACTCAGTCTTAGATGGCTTTTGGGGGTTAAGTAAAATTCATCTGTTTTAACAGATACTCTGCAGCAACAGTCTGCTAGAGTCAACAGACTACTGGCTACAGAATCAGAGGACACCATGTCGGATTGGCTTTCTGGAAGACAAGTCCGAAAACAGTTGCGCCTCAGTAAGTACTCAGAAGCTTTAAACTCATGTGGGGAAAAATGCAGTAAGTGCTATGAGGGTAAGAAGCTGTATTAATGAGGTCATAATGCTATGTGCTTTTCAAAAAGTAGTAGTAGTTGTCACTTACCTAATAAAAATTGCCACTAGGTCTCCCTATCTATATTTAGGATTTCTAGTTAAATATTAAGATGAGCAGCTGAAACAAAATACAAGTGCAGATTTGTATATGGTATACTGTAGAAATATTACTTGGAGATTAGCAAGAGGCAAGGATTATTGTGCATGGTATCAGTTATTGGACTAACTGCACGGTTTGGATAAAGTTTGGCAAGCTTGAAAGTGCAAAGCATTCTTGCCTGCATTAGGCCTGTAGACCTAAGCATTTAATTTGGAATCACAGAGTTGACTACAGAAGGAGAAACAAAAAGAAAGCTATGACAATAAGAGAAACATTTTGAGTCACAAATAGATAAGAAAAGAGCGGATGTTTAAAAGATTCTGTTGAATGCTCCTAAAGATTACACAAAACCACAATTATTTAAAAAGTCCTCTTTCCATGTTAGATAAGGGGAAGGCTCTTGTACCACACACACAGAATTCTTCCACATTTTAAGTTTCTAGTTAAAAATGTGAGTTAACACAACTAAACAAACTGGCTAAGTACAGACAGTCAAAAAGCCCAAGGCTGAATTGATTAGTCAAGTTAGTCTAGTCTAATTCAAAAGTTAGTCTAAGATGCAGAGATTAAACCAAGAAGCAAGTGAACAGACGTTCACTTTAGATTCAGTAAATGCAGGCACACACCTGCAGTGGCTCAGGCCAGAAGCTGGGGGGCACTAGAGTACACCTCCCAGCCTGCCATCCACTGCCAAAGGGAAGGGACAGAAGTTCCCAGACCTTTCCCCCATTCCTGTTTGACTGGAGGGGGTATAACCAGGCCCCAGCCAGGGGCTAGCATGCTGGAGGGTGGGTGTTTAAATCCCCTCTCTGGCCCAGCCTGGGTCTGCCTGGGGGGTGGGGGGAAGGTAGTGGCAGCTAGGCT